AAACACCAAAGACAAGTATATGCTGGTGTGTATGTGGAGAAAGGGGCACACTCCTCCACTGCTGGTGGGAGTGCAAACTCGTACAGCCACTTTGGAGATCAGTATGGTGGTTGCTCAGGAAAATGGGATCAGTCTACTTCAAGATCCAGTAATTCCACTCTTAGGCATATACCCAAAAGATATGCATTCATACAACAAGGACATCTGCTCATATATGTTCAGAGCAGCATGATTTGTAATAGCCAGAATTTGGAAGCAACCTAAATGCTCCTCAACTGAAGAATGGATGGAGAAAATTTGGTACATTTACACAATGGAGCACTACTCAGCTGAAAATAACAATGGAATCTTGAAATCCAAGGCAAATGTATGGAACTAGAAGAAACCATCCTGAGTGAGGTAAACTAGTCACAAAAAGACAAATGTGGTATGTACACACTGATATATGGATTTTAGACATGAATCACAAATTTACCAGCCTACAATCCACACTGCCAGAAAAGTAAGGAAACATGGAGGAGACTAAGAGAGTCATGCATGGTCCCCCAGAGAGTAAAAAGGGACCCGATCTCCTGAGCAAATTGGGACCAAAGAGGGAGGAGAGAGGCAGTTAGGAGAAAGAGAAGGGGACAAGAGGAGAGGAGAGGTGGGCATGAGGGAACAGGAAGTTTACACAGAGACAGAATAGAGAAAAGCAAGAAAAGAGATACTACAATAGAGGGAGCCATTGTAGATTTAAGGAGAAATCTGGCACTAGGGAAATGCCCAGAGATCTACAAGGATGAACCCACCTAACAATCTAAATAATAGTGGAGAGGCTGCCTTTAATGCCCTTCCAAAATAATGAGATTGACAACCACCTTATATGCCATCCTAGAGCCTTCATCTAGTAGTAGAGGGAAGCAGGAGCAGGCACCCACAGCTAAACATTAGCTGAACTCCTGGAATCAAGTTACAGAGGGAGGAGTGATGAGCAAAGTGGTCAAGACCAGGCTGAGGAAACCCACAGAATCAGCTGACCTGAACAAGGGGAAACTCAGGCACCCCAGTCTGAAAGCTAGGATACCAACATAGGACCGACCCAGACCCCCCTGAACATGATTCTCAGTTAGGAGGACTGGGCAGTCTATGGAGCCTCTGGTAGTGGATCAGTATTAATCCCTAGTGTACAAATGAACTTTGGGAGCCCATCCCACATAGAGGGATACTTTCTCATCCTAGACCCTCCACTAAATGATATAACAGACTTTGGAGACTCCCCAAGGAAAATCTCACTCTCCCTGGGGAGCAGAAATAGGATGGGCTGGGGTTTGGTGGTGGTGATAGGGTAGGGTGGGAGTTTGAGGGAACTGGGATTGACATGTAAAACAACCTTGTTTCAAATGTAAATAATACTGAAAAAAAAAAAAAAAAAGAATGCCAAGCACTCTTTGATCAGTGCTTGATCAAAACAAGGCAGTTCAAATATAAGGTAATGATTTTGCTATCATCCCCACATTCATTAGCTGCTGTTCTTCTAAAATAGCTTTTCATTCTTCAATGTGCTATTAACAAATAATCATGTTCAAGTTTCCCAAATGTCATTGGAGTCATCTCTATCAAATAAATCCCTTTCTTTGTGGTAGAATTTACTCAAGGTTCACCCTGTGTTTACAAACCCTAGATCTGGAATGGCTACTTTTCTAAGATGCTCTGTTCCTGTGAAAAGGGAATAGTATGTAGAAACAAGGAACTGAGCACTAGATATACTCACATATTGGGGGGAGGGGGAAATCATTTCAAGTCTGGAAAGGATATTTTTGTTTTACTTTGTATAATGAATTCATAGACATTCTTTTTCTTACACCATGAACTTTAGCTTCTGTTAAATTAGTATAAAAACACATGCAAATATGTATGCACATACATATTTGTTTCTTCCTTGTAAAATGTGTGTGTATTTTAGATCATATTCATATGACTACTAATAAACCAACCAGATGATGCTTAAAATTTCTTTGTAGCTCTTCTTGTTTTCCAAGGCTGTTTCATTAAGGATGAGTCAGAGGCATGTGCTGGCAGCTCAGTTGTTTACTCTATGTGTTTCTAATATCTGCTTTTTCAGTGTTCTGTTTTGTGATTCTTAAGATTTGTTTTGTTTTAGATTTTTGAATTTATACAAATTAGCATTGACTGGAAGTTGAAACTACATCAGAAGGTGACTTAAAGGAATCTAACTCTTGTCCTTGTCCCCTCCATGTCATTAATAACTGCCCCCATGTGTAGCCATTCTCATAAATTTCTTGAGGTATATCTGCCATAAAGTTCCCCATTTTAAAGAGTATTATTCAATGACTTTTAGTATATTCATACAGCAGTATAACTGTTCCAATGTCTAACTGGAGAAACTTTCATCACTCAATAAATAATGACCACACCCAGTATCAACAACTCATTATTATTATGCAATATTTTGTCTATCAACTTATATAGTGACACATGATAGACTTTTTACACCATTGAATAATTATGGATAAAGCTGTTATAAATATCTATGTGTAAGATTTTGTATGGACATCTGTTTTTACTTAACTTGGGTATATAGTGAGGAAATAGAATTCCAAGATCATGCAGAACCCTATATTTAACTTTTGGAATCATTAGGTATTTTGTAAATCACTTTGTGCTTCTTTTGACTAACATTTAAACAAGTGTATGATTTCTTACATTTTTAATTTCCCTCTTCTATTAGAAAAAAGAAATTCTCTAGAATATTATACACCCTGATTTATGTCTTAGGTCTTTTATTGTTTTTGCTGCTTGTTTTATAACCTAACATGTATAATGTATACTACGGAGAAAAAAATCCTGCATAGACAAAGTCCTTATTCTTTTGGTTTTTATGAGTACACAATACTACATACCCTCATTCACTCATCAAGTCCTTGTTGTAGAACAAGTACTATGTCCAGTTTTTATTATTAAATTATGCTACACTGACCAACACTGCTTTGTGTTTGTGGAGATGTAGACGCCAAAAAGTGTGACTGGTAGACTAAAATGAAAATTAATATGCACATGTGCTAACTTGTTCTGAATCCCCATTCTCTAGGAACATACTAAACTAATACCATAATTAATCAGAGTGCCTGTTTTCCATAATCTCATTGATAGAAAATGTGAATTGTAATTTGTCAATGAATGTGAGCTCAGTAGAAGTGTAATCTGTATTTTATTATTATGGTGAGATTGAGTATTAATTTCCATACATTTAAGTTTTTCTATTTTTGAGATACAACTATATGTATCCCTTTTGTTTGTTTGTTTCAAACATTTTGAAGAGCAGGAACAGTGAAGTAAACCAGGTAGATGGGAAGATGGAGGCAGGTACCCCATCACTCACTACCAGAAGGAACGATATCATGAGTTCTTGGGCTCTTGTTACACATTAGATTTTCAGGTTACAGTTGAAAGAATGCCTTGTATCATAGCTGATTCAGCTCCTTCCAGCTATAGATGAACAAGTTCTGCATTAACAAACTGAGGACCAAGGAGTGGAAGGACTTTGTTTGGATCACATAACAAATTAGAGTTAGACCTAGAAATTGAACTCCAAGTTACTTTCCCTAGAGCAACTTCAAGTTAATGTGCAAATAATTTCTTTGTTGATTTTTTTTATTTTCACTAAGATTACATCAAAGTACATTTTGGAGAGAACAAGTCTCTTAATACTCTTTATTAGCTGGAGCTATCCATGCTTATTATCTATATCAGTATCTTTAATATCCACTTACTGTATACGTGTAAAAAAATCTTAAGACGGTACAAGCTGGATGAGACTTTGGGAGATATCTCACATCACGGGAACACCTGAGGTCCAGACAGGCAGAGTGTTCAATACATATCACAGGATCAGCCAAAATGGTCCTTAGTCTGAGATCTCACCATCACTAACAGCCTCAAATTTAGGTGTTAGATCCTCTCCAGATAAGGTTGAATGTAGCAGGATGGATATTGGGAGTGTGTAGATAGGCTTATTTGCTAAATATATGTTTAGGATACATTATAATTTTAAGCTTAATTACCAATTACTGTGTAAAATACCAGGAGAGGCCTAGAGACCAAGCAGACCAATCAAATGAGCTAGCAACAGAACTGAAATAAGCACTCCGTGTTTTATAACTTCTGAACTGTAGCCTTCCTGTCTTTGTTTTGATCCAAGCAAATTAATCTTTGCTCACAATATTGAAATATTGCCATCATGCATCATCATGGAGCATGTGTACCCCTTCTAAGTCTCCTGCCTCCTACTACACCAGGACAGGAGGCTGAACAGATCCTAGTGTCTCTCATTGTGCCCATTACTCTCTCCCACACAACTTCCATTCTTCCTCCATCCCTCCTACTTTCCCTCTCTTCCTTTCCCCTCTCCTCTCATTATTTACTTCCATTCTTTTATTTTCTTTCCTTTGTCAAGGTCTTACTACATAATGGTCTTGTCGGGACTCAGACTGAGAGGCTTTCTACACTCTCCTCCCAAATGCTAGGATTACAAACACACAGATTGTGCCTGGCAAAAAAAATGCACTCCTTAAGAGCTCTCTATGTGTTACATGATTTCCCATGTTCATATTAATCCACGACACTCCTATTTCACAGTCATCAGTATTTTCATCATAGAGATGAACACATAGAGGCTCAGTGAGGCTCACTTAGAATTAGACAGCTAAAGAAGTTATAGAACTCGGATCCCAAACTAGGTTTGTCTGACAGTAAAGAATATGTCTGGTCCTGGTGCATAGCATACAAACCTACTGCTACCTTTCAGCTAAAACAAACCAGGAGCCTGTTGACTCTAGGATATGTACAGGGATATGGCCTCACTCAGAGAATATTCAGATGCCCCCCAAAAAATGTTGGGGGATGGGGCTCAATGAGTTGGGAGTCAGTTTTTCTTTAGTCCTCCTATGTGTGCCAGACCCTCAACAGAAACTCTTTCTGAAACGCAAGCAGTTACTTACTTTACCAAGTGTCTGATTAGAAGTTCCAGCATTTCCCGGTTCTTTTCTGGTAGCTTATATACTAGGGAGTGAATAGCCCCCAAACGGTAATCTAGGTTGTCAGATTCTGGCAGAGAGAACACAAAGAGATGGTTTGGCTTTGAGGTCACACAGTCACACTAACACACACACACACACACACACACACACACACACACACACACACACTTGAGCACAGGGAGAGGGAGAGAGGGAAGTGAAAAGGAGAGGGAGAGAAAGAGTAAAAAAAAAATGAAGAGAGGAAACAGGCAGGTAAGTAAATAAATAAGGCCAGACACACTGAATAAATGAGAAAAATAGAAACAAAACCAACAATGGCAAGGAGAGATTAAAAAGCAAAAGAAACAAAATATAGGCCTAGAGGGAAGAAGACATTGGAAAGTTGGGAATGGAAGCTTGTGGACAAGACATTCTCAGAGGCAAGCAAAAATGCAGTCACAGCAGCTTGTCTCTAAAGCCCCAAGCAAAGCTTCCAGTTAGAATCCTTTGCAACTAAAGTTGCTGCCTTCCAAAGTCAATCACCGAAAGAGCCCTGAAGTTCACACCACATGCCACCAGTCAGCCAATTTTCTTGAAAGCATACAGCTAACACTGGTTATCAAAGTTATCTACCTCGAAAAGTTAGCAATCAAAAATATGCTCACTTAGTAGTGGGCAAAATCTGAGTTTATTTTGGGAATTCTCCCCTCAAAGCAGTTTGCTAGCCTTTCACCATAGACTTCTGTAGGAAAGCAGGACAACACGATTTAACTAGTAGTGTGCATACTTACTGGCAGCAGAGACGAGTTCTTTGTGAAGCTTATAAGTCATGACAGGCTCTGAAAGATTCCTGAAACGAATGAAGAGGATCACATTTTGGAGAAGGAAGAGACCAGAGCATGGACTCCCACCTTTATGAGTACTAAGGCCCCACACCTTACCCTGATTACACACATCTCACAGCTGAGCAGTGGGGTATAAGTTTAAAAGATCTGCAAATAAATATGCTGGGACTTTCAGCAAGGTCTTAATTAGCTCCCCAAAGTGAAAGGAAATAAGAAAACAGTCCTGCCAATTCTAAAAAAGAGCCACTCTAAATGTGAGCATGTGCTTATAAGTTGAGGCTGTAAATGTGAGCATGTGCTTATAAGTTGAGGGATCTAAAGAGTTTCCAAAGTGCTTTTGTATCTGTTGTATTTGAAACTCCCATTGATTCTATGAAGTAGAGCAGGACTGAAACTAAGAGACGAGATCTGGGATGGAACTAAACCTTGGGAAATCACTAACCACAGAGGCAAGAGCACAGACACGATCATTTGATGAGATGTTGTACACATTTCCAGCCAGGTTTCTATAGAAAATAATATACATAACATTTCTATTTCTTAGTCTCAGAATCCCCTGGTTTACCCTCTAATCCATTTAAATCTAACTCGCTCCAACTGCTCCAAGGAAGTTGTTCTTACCAATACCACCAGTGACTGCCTTGATACTGAACACAAAGACAACTGTCATTCTTTACCTTACTTGACTTCTTTGAGTCATTTGGGGTTGTTAACAAACCTCCTCGAGACTTATCCCTTAGATTTTGCTGAATCACTTGATTTTGGTTTTTCTCTTAACCACTGTGACTTTTCAGAACCTTCTTCTCTGAGAATTTATCATGGCTCCTTTCACCTTTTACAACACTAGATTGCTGGAAAATTCAAATATCTACAGAGGCTTGGAAATTTTCATGTTGTTCCTGTCTCATATTTAACCTGAATTTGCATGGCAGTGTCTTTATTTTTCTACAAACAGCAGCCATATTTACTAACACAAATAAGCATGTGTGTTCTTGCAGTCAGATCTTTCCATTTTCAACAGAGATGAACAATAAATACTTTTTTATAAGAAATACACTCATTTTCATATTTTGACTTGATTCTGCTTCAGTGGTATCTCTATTGGACAAAAGGGTGTGCCATAAAACACAGTATTGCTGTTTCTCAACACTGACATCTATCTTAGAGCAGAGGAGCATCTGTTCTTGTGGTTTTAAGTACCATCACAGCATCATGATTTCCATTTCTGCCACTGAAAGGCACAACAAGGGTCCTACATCTAATTTCTTAATAAACATTATTTCTCCATGGCAAATCCAAATGGCTCCAGGGTCTAGCACATTCATTTATTCTCAACAAATTCCAACTTTGTCTGTTTGCCCAAACCAGATTCCTTTCTCCATCACGATCATAACCAGTGAAAGGATTCCATCCACAGACTCTTTCAGAGCTTGCTTCTTACCATTTATGCCACTGATATGAATCATTATATAAACAAAAATAAAAATAAATAAGCTTTGCATCTTGACTATACACATAAAGTGTGACCTCATGTTCTTACGGCCACCACTTCCCTGACATGATGAACTTGATACTTTCTTAAGGCACGAGTCAAAACTCTTCTTAAACAATAAACTGAAAGAAATCAATAGTGATGACAGCCTAGGGCATATGACAGTCCCACTGATGATCAACTCTAACTAGATGAGTTGGCCACTCATAGCTTTAGGCTTGACCTTCTCTTCAGCTGACTAGGCTTGAGCTAGAAAGTATTTCAATTGAATAAAGCCTTTGAAACATGTCATTATGAATACTGACTCCTTTTAAGGAGGATAAGTAAATCACTTACTCACTGACTACTCTCATTATCCTAAGTCTTTGAAAATGATTCATATTAAAATTGCTCTCTCCTTATTAAACGATCCACACATTCCAAAGTTGCCCAAGGCTCCTAAAAAGAGACAATCCAGGAAAAGTACCCTTTTAATCCAGAGATTTAAGTTAAAAAAAATACCAGCTATAACCACAAAATACTTTGTTGGGGAAGCAAGAACCTCAGTTTCCCCATCTGTAAAAAGGAGTGTTATACTTCCTGTGGTACACGGGTACTGGGATAAAAAATATCAATGAAAGTGTCAATAACAGCAACTAGCATAGTGTCTATACCAGGATAAGCCTTCCGATAGCATTTCCTTTCTTTGGAAAATAAAATAGGCATGCTTCTGAAAGAGCATTCATAGTTATAAGAAACTAAAATTACATCAAGATGATGCAATAACAGAAGGTCATTCAACATCAATATCATGACCCAACTGTTTGGAAGAATGATCTAGTGCACAGTTTAAATATCAATCTTACTGAAAAAATACAACAAAAATGGAAAAGAAAACACTTGAACTTGGAACTACAGTGCATATTATATGACATAAAGAATAGCAGTGAAAAGCTGAAGGGGATGCTGTGAGTGGTAGAACACACCTTTAATCCCAGTAGTACATAGGCAGAGGAAGGTGGATTTCTGTGAGTTGGAGGCTAGCCTGATCTACATAGAGAGTTCCAGGCTAGCCTGCAAAGTGAGACTCTGTCTCTAAATACATACATACATACATATATATATATATACATATATATGTGTGTGTGTATGTGTGTGTATGTATGTGTATGTATATGTATATGTATATATATTCATATGTTTATGTATACATATTCAAACATACTTTTATGTTTGAATGTTTATGGCATATACTGATGCCAGTAAATAGGACACTAATTTTATCAGCACTGTGTATCCCAAAATTTTGCTAGTAAGTTAATATTTTTTTCTTACTGCTGTCACATCGTTATCTCCAACTTTTTGTTTTCTTTTATATTTCCATTTATATGGGTTAAAACAGGACAATATGGTATAGTCATATTTTCTTTCTCTTTCTCTCCTTGGGGCAAGAACTCTACCACTGAACTATATCCACAAGAGCATGGTTTGAAAGAATAGTATTGTTTTTTTAAAAAAAAATATTTTTTAGTAACAAATACTTTCTATGTTAAATCCTCATATTAAAGATATTTTTTCTAGAGTTTGAGGTGGTGGTCCATGCCTATAATTCTTGCATTCAGGAAGCTGAGGGATGATTTTTGTATCAAGTTCCAGTCCAGTCTGGGCTACATAGTAAGTCCCTGTCTCAGAGACAAACATAAAACATCTTATTAAACAGAAATCATCCTAGACAAATTTCATCAATCATGAAAAGCCAAATCAAAGTTGAATTAAAACATACCTGAGGTAGAATTTTAAGGAGCTTGTGATTGTCTTAATGTCCCAGTCACTATTATGAAAATCCACATCTCCTGGGCATTTTGGATCTAAGAAAAAAAAAAAAACACACAAAAACAAAAAATAATCTTCCCACAGATTTTACCTGTTAACTTCTTTTTTAAAAAATGAAGTATATTACTTAGATGGTTACTCTAATAAATTTTCAAGACACCGAAACTACAAAAAGAAATCTTTTCGGTTTTCAAAAATGTATCTTGTATTCTGGCTCGGGGTACAAGAACTTTGGAAATGATCACTTCTAGACACCCTGTGAGAAGAAAATGCTGAACAAACTGAACAACACTGTAGATGAGCAAAATTGTGAGATCAAAAGAAAACTGCTGCAGCTGAACTGTGAGGCTGCAGAGTCAGCACTTTCTAGCAGAAGCTCCATGGAAACCATGGAAACCCCTCATTCCTGGCATAGAAAAACTTAATCTGTAAATGAAAAAAAATGCTAAGACCCAATATGTATGAGTTTTAGAATTAAAAAAAAAATGTGTGGCTCGTGACAGACTCTGATGGCTCCCCATTCCTGAAGAGTGGATGGGAGTTGGGAAGACGGGAGAGAGAGGAAACTGGGATTTGGTATGTAAAATAAGACTGTCATTTTAATTTAAAATAATAATCAAAAATGGATGGCCCAACCCTATCAGGGAACACCACACGTTTGGGTCCCTTACTGGTTTTACCTTGAGTATGCTGTCAATTTTCCTGAGTAGAAATCTAAGAATAATCCCCTCACGAATGCATGATTCTACTAAAGGTAGAAGAAAAGTAACCATATGTCCAGAGCTTAACAGGAACTATTTTACTGCACTCCAACTACTACAGTTTTACCACAATCTACATGAAATGAGTAGTTAAAGAAAACATTCAACTCTATACCCAATCTGTCTCTTAAAGGGAATACCAAAAATAAACTGAGAGGTACTGGGAAAGGTCACAGGCCACAAGTACAGTAGACAAAGAATCACAAGAATTATGGAACATCCCACACACACACATATGGCACCTTACCACCACATCAATAAGCCTTCTTCAAACCAACAGTACTCATTCTGCCTAAAGGAACAGCACAATTCACTAAGTGTCCATGGCAAACCAAAGCTAGAGGACAGTCAAAAATGCAAATGTAACCTGAGATAAACATAAAGCTTCATACTAAAGGTATAATTTTTATACCCATAATTTTTTATCTATTACATCATGTTATCTTAGAAAAAGTCAGAAAACATAGCTTAAAGATACAGAAGAAACAAAAAAAAACTACTCTTTGATATGAAGATTTTAGAAATACAAATTCAGTATTTTAAAACAGCTGTGATTAATGTTAAGGTCTATAATACACAAAAGTGAGCAACATAAAAGAAGAGATGGATAAAACAGAAGGTAGATACAAAGATCTAAGGAAGCATAAAAACAAATACTAAAAACCAAAACACTATAATAGGAAGGAAGAAAGCATTTAAGACCTGAACACAGCTGGGAGAAACATCAGTGAGTCTGAAGAAATGCCAATAGGGACTTCTAAAATGGAAATACAAAACAAAAATTATTAAAAGGTGAAAAAAGAGAATATAAAGCTATGAAATTTATACTATACCTGTGATAAGAATCACCATGATGAAAGTAAAGATTAAAAAGGAAAGATAAAAGAGAGATTATTGGATGCATCTCAGTAGGATGGATGCATCTCAGTAGGAGGGTGCTTTTTTTTTTTTTTTTTTTTTTTTTTTTTTGCATGTGTGACTCCCTGACTTCAATTCCCAGTGCTAAGGGGAAAAGAAGGGAACAGGATAGAAAAATAAAAGAGATAAAGAACAGAAAAAAAAACCTGAAATACCAATAATTTCCCAAATATAATGACCAATGCCAGACCACAAATGCAGGAAGGATCGTCAGAAAACATCTGTGTGTGTGTGTGTATGTGTGTGGCGAGAGAGAGAGAGAGAGAGAGAGAAAGAGAGAGAGAGGAAGGGAGTGAGAGAGTGAGAGAAAGAGATGGGGAGAGAGAGAGACTGCTGAAAATAAATGACTGTGAAGGACCAGTAACAGTTAATATAACTACACAATGCAACCCTTACGCCAAAGTGCTATGCTACTCAATGACAATATTCAGTGAATTAGGATTTAGACTTCTAGAATTTTCAACTGACATTGTAAATCAAAAACATCTATAAATGTATAACCCACAAAAATAAAACTAAACTTCCAGCAAAATAAATCTCAATATAGCAAAGTCCAATGAAAGAATACAGTCTGGCTACTAGCTATCTCTCAAGAGACTCAGTTTATATATTCAAGAAGAGAACACTCAGGGCTTAACAAATCTTTGCCTAGATGTCATTCATCTTCCCCCAGTCATAATGGCAAAGACCACATCTGATAGTAAAAGCGAGAGAGGATGTGGGAGAAAGGGGAACACTCATTCACCGTTGGTGGGATTGTGAACTGGTCCATCCACTATGAAAATCAGCGTAAAAATCCTTAAAAAGCTAAAAATAAACTTACTATATGCTCCAACTACACCACTCCTCAGCATATGCCAAACGACTCCACATTCTACCCCACAGACACTTGCTCAGCCACATTCATTACTGCTCCATTCATAGCTAAGAAATGAAATAACCAATGTCCTTCAACTAAAAATAGATTATGAAAAGACTATGCATACATGTTACAGATGCTATGCAACTGTAAAGAAAAAATTATATTTGTAGGTAAATGGACGGAACTAGAATAGTTCATATTGAGTGATGTAATCCAAACTCAGAAACACAGATGCCACGTATGAGGTTCCTAGCTCCAAATCTTCAGATATGAGTGTATTCATAATCTGGAGTAATAACAGAAATCAGAAAATGTAAAAAAAAAATACTGTTACAGGGGAAGGAGCAATAGAATGGTGACTAGCAGGGTACAAGTGATATATGGAAGGAATGGGTCTAAAAGGAAGAATACAAATACAGCAGGGAGAATGGTAACATGATAGTAAGGGTATCACAAAAAATCATAAGGAATCAAACTATTGCCTATATACCTAAAAATATCTATAACACATATAAAACCCTGTATACAAATGCATATGCTTTAAATGAAATATTCCCATCAGATCAAGGATTTCAGCCATGTTCAGTGATAAAGATAGAGAACTGAAGATGCTTAGGGGGTAGAGGGATTGTAAAGACATACCAAATGAAACTGAATTTCTTCAGCTATAGAAAATGTAACAAAGGCTTATCCACAGGCAAGACTACATGAATAAATAAGGATATAGCCACCAGCAGAAAGGGTAAGAGATGAGCCACTGCCAGAGTCACACTGAGTCTATCTGAAAGGAAAGTGCTGGCAAAAGAATTACCTTTTATCTGTAGCTATTGGAAGGTAAGCAATAATTTTCAGGTATAGAATGTTGACAGCATGAGAACATGATCCTGGACAGTTTCAACATGACACAATTGCTTAGTAAAACTTTATGTTATGAAAATCCCAATGTAGTTACAAAGTTTTGTCCTAGAGACAAGCAATGTGTTAGTATTGCTTCATTCTATGGGGGTAATCAGCTAGGCAAAATAACTGTATTAATGTAGTAATCAGGAAGGAGTTAACAAAGCAGGCTTGACATCATTGCTCTAAGAGAGGCTTCCATGCAAGGTGGAGCCTTGGAACTTGAAATTTGAAAGGGTCCCCAACATTGAATTAATAAAATGTCTCACTGTGTCTGGATTTCTTGTATAGTAGAATGGATGCTGAAACCATGTTTGATTTTGAGGCAATGAAGTATTAGAATGTGCTGGGAAGTAGTGGCTTTCATCAGAAGCCTTAATAAACATCTTAACAAATTAGTCTCTGGCTATCTCACCATGCAAATGAAGCAGTACAGCTCCTATCAAACTAACAATAGAGGGACTGAGTGGATCTTGGGTAATTCTACTGGGAGAAGATTCCTAGAAGCTTTCGTTCTACTAGATTCTACCATATACACCTTTCCTCTTTTATAACTTTGGTTTGTCTTTTGACTATAATCAATTATAGCCATGAGAATAACTATATGCTAAGTCTTGTTAGTTTCTCTATTTACCAAACCTGGAGGAAGATTTGGAGACCTTCAAGTTATATGAGAGACATATTTGGGGGACTTGTTGAGGAAGAGATACAATTTCTTTTTAATCTTTGGGAAATTCAACTAAGCATGTTACAGCATAGGCAATGTGACTGAGTGTAATGTGCTAAAATCAGAACTGAAATAAAAAAACACATATATAGGAATTAAATATGAAGACAGTTTGCACAGATACACAAAGATGTTTCAAATATTAAAATAAACCACAGGCCAGCATTCAAGTTTTCAGATTTATGAAAAAATAAAATGAAAACACTGGGAAATCAAAAAATCATTTTATAATTAAAGAAAGAAGAAAACCAGGGTGAAACTCCAAGTTAATTAATCACTAACTTAGAATTCTGAAAGTGTCCCTCTCTGCATTAAGACTAGTCTCACATCCTCCTATAAGCCACAGGAAAATTGTGTTCACTGAAAAGAATAGCATCATTATTGACACATTTATTCTGCACATATTAATAGTTATTATGTTCCAAGGACTGCTTCAAGGAGCTAAGAATATATAGTAAATAAAATCTCTACCCACTGGAGGTTCAATATATAAATCATTTCATAACCATAACTAATTGGGTTCAAGGTCAAGAGAAAAGCATGAGAGCCTTGATCTTGGCACAAGACAGACAATGATTAGGAACATTGTATTATTTATTAGAAAGGCATAATGCTTTCCAGGGTTTCTAACCTAGTACTGAGATAACCAACAGCAAATCTGAGAACAGCCTTCCATGATGAATAGAAGTGGTCAATTGGATTATGAAATAATTAGATCTAATCAGAACAAGCTGAGTCTGTATATGAAGCCACAAGGGGAATAAAAAACTTAACATAAGTATGATAGAAAACAAGATCATAAAGAAGAAAATGTAATGTGTATATATTGTCAAGAAGTTATGCAATGATTTTGCAAAGGGGAGTAAAGAG